AATTTTTTTTTTTTTTTTTTTTTTTTTTTATCATGTAACATCCGAGTTACATGAATGAACTAGAACTACATTCGAATGAGAGCGATTCTGAGGATGGAATGACTAAGAAAGACTTTAAAGAATTTAAAGTTATTACATATACCAACAAGGTGATCTTTCTTTTCGGTGACTCAATCCTAACAACTTCATAGTAATTCTATGTTTGACGACCATCTGAGTTATCAGAATACGAATAGCAAACGACGAATGAGAAACGAAGAAACAAAATCGCAAGCAAGGACAAGGAGGCTTTCAATGGTTGGCAAAGAAATGGTTTAAAGTTGAAACTGATCCATAGAAAAGCAAATAAAAACAACTTTTTTAAAGGTTAGATTTAATTTTGTATTCAATAGATTTGTAGTAAGAAACCACACACATGAGGAAGTTCCTCACATAATTGGACAAAAAAATGGGTGATATAATTGATGAAAGGTTTGAAGAACAAGTGGGATCTTTTAATGATTATTTGTGAATGAATAAATTTAAGGTATAATGTATAATGTGTTGTGATATCAACTTGCATTGTGAATAGGGAAAGGGAAGGCCACATTAGCAGCTAATTGGTAGGAACATAGGTGGTATAAAGCGTTGCCAAAGGTTGCTACTTAATTATGACCCCTTTTGCCTACCTTTGCTTTTGTGACTCAACCCACAATCACAATCTATTTAATTGTCACAATTACAAGGGTAACCATAAACTCATTGGATATATGGCTTTAGTTGTTGACCATATGTATTTTACATCACACCACTTTTTCGAGAAAATATTTTAAATAACAAATATCTTTAATTCTATAATCAAATCCAACCTCTCGGTCTCGACGTGAAGTTGGAGTTAGCCTCTCAAAGGTCACGTGCCACTAGATCCAAAAGAAGAAAAGTATAAGATTCTTAAAATGTTGAATCAAGTTAGATACATGAAAAGCAAAGCAAGCATAGGAGTTTTATTTTTGTTCTAAAGTTTTTGTTTTTAGTTGTTGTTTTGCTAAGTTACATTTCACTTTACGTCAAACTCTTGTGTATTTCATTCAAGTTTCCCAATATGAATTAAGCTCCTTTTTTGGGATTCAAAGATATGAATGAATATCCCAAGTAAGAAGAAAGAACTTTTTTTTCAACACAAAGCATCATACTTAGATCAGCATAATATATGTAACATCCAATTCCTAAAGGCTTTAAAAATAAACAAACAAAAGAAAAGAAAGCCCGAATTTTCATTATTGGAAAAACTATGGAGCAACATGATCAATTTAAATAAAATCATTGAAAAGAAAAGACTTACTTTTACAAAATTCAGAAGTTGTAGTTGTACTTAACAGTCACTGACTCACCATGGCTAAAACAAACAATAAATTCCAAAAGAAAGAAAATGAATCAGAAGAGAAACAGTAGTTATAATGGGCAGTAAAATCCAGAAACAGTTGAAAGTACAAAAATTATTCTCAAGACACATAGGGTTGCTCAACCCTTCAGTTTTCTGTGTCAATCATGCAGCGAAGAGACAGGCAGGCACAGGCAGTAGCATTGGAAAAGATGGAATGTACAAAGTAGAGACTTACAGAAAGCTGGAGAGAATATATTCAATTAGAGCTGCGGAAGTCATCAGCAATGGCCTCTGATTGTGGTAGGACGTCCCTTTGGAAACGGTGCTGCATTGTTCTTTCAAAATCAACTTCTGCTGTAGCTTTCTATCTGTTGGGTTACACACAAACACAATCATCAATAATAGTCATAAAGATTGTGAAATAGATACCTGTAATATGGAGAGCTGGCTATGGACTCTGGTCTGTCCCTGCTTTCTGAACCATCGATCATGTGCTCGTGATTCTAGTTCCAATTTCATTTAGAAATAAAGATAACTCGATAGATAAAATACTAATAATTCTTCTTCGAATTTCGACCCTTCTAATTTCAATACTATATACTTAACGAAGTAAAGTTTCATTTAAGAATCCAACTTTTCTAAAGTTACACTTTTCCAGCATTCAACCAAATATGTAGAATCCATACATGTCCCCCATCAAACCACAGTGATAGATAATGTCTATCCCAAATTTCCATTTTTGAAACCAATGGAGTTTTGTGGGCTGATTTGTTAGTAATAATGGAACAGAAATATGTTAAACGATGGCATCATCAACCAATTCTTTGCCAATGCTTGGTCCTGAGCTTTTATCATAAAAAGAAATTGGTGAGCCAAATTACC